TCATATCTTCAGTTAATACCAGCTAAGAATTTTATAACAAAGTAAAGGAAAAAAACAAGTAACTTAGTTTTGATATTTTCACTCAATTTGCTAAAGTCACATATAAATGATATTTCACTTTGAATAACTAAAAGCAGTATGTATTTTTCACCTTGTATGGAAATGTGGTTATTCGAAGTAGCATGTTTCCATTGTAATTAAATGTTAATGAAATAAGTAATTTTCATTGAACTTCATCAGGTAAGAAGAAATTATTAGCATTTATTATGGCTGTGACATTTCAAAAAGATCAAGTTAAAAGGAATGAAACTTCTAGCAACTTTGCTCATCACATGAATTATTACTTTGGTTCATTTTTTTGTAAAGAAGAATGAGATTTCATAAGATTGGTTTTAATAATATCAAGAGATTAACATTTCTTACATCAAATTTTATTTGTCACAACAAGAGTTATTTATTGTTCAACATGTTATTTATCCATGGCTCACAATAGCTGTTGAGTATTCAGTTTTCTTAAAAACATGTGGAGGGAGGCATTTGGTGTAGAGATTAAGACTGCTTGGGACACCTGCAATCTCAAATTAAAGTGACTGGGTTCAAATCCTACCTCCATTCCTGATTCCAGTGTCCTGGTTAATGCACATCCTGGGAGGCAGCAGGTGAAATCTCAAGTTTTTGAGTCTCTGCCACACATTTGGGATATATGACTGAATTCTTTGTTCCTGGTTCAACCTGTCCCAGCCTCGGCAGTAACTAGCATTTGGAGAGTGATCCACTGGGTGGGAGATCCCTCTTTGTTGCCCTCTCCGTATGTGTGTGTTGGAAATAAATAAAGATGCAAAAAAAAGTGGGATAGTAAAACTTGTATGACTACATCAAAGAGCCTGTTTTACAAGATTGATTTGTAAAGGGGAAAAACAAGTTTCAGAACTGAAAACTATAGAGACAGAAAAATGATTCATCTATCACCAGCTTTGTGCTAAAATCAATGAAAAAGGCAAGAGGCAGCCCAATAAATAGGGTTTCAATTGTTAGTCATGCAATGTATTCTATCCCTATACTCCTTCCATCAAGCACCCCCAACCTCAACGCACAGCTGCAGATCTGCAGAGCAGAGTTTGCTGGTGGCTTGGAACTAGCTGAGGGACCCCATTGGCAGGCAGACATATGTCTATCCTTGCAGGCAGGAGAAGTGGAGAGGCTTTCTTTTCTTTCTTTTTCATTCTTACCTTAAAGCATCCTTGGTTCGAATTCTTCACTTCAACTCCCCACTTTGCCACTGAACTACTTGGTTAAGTCTGCAGGGCCTGTTGACATTGGGTTGTCTACATTAACTGCCAGAGCCACTTTAATCACTGGGATATGATTAAATCTGAAAATTGTATTTTTACAATGATTCTTTCCATGTTTTCACATCTTTATGATGTGAATAAATATTTGTTAGACAGTGTCTACAGTGTTTCAAGTGCCCAGACAAAAATGGAAGCAGTTGGAACATTAAATCTAAAAATTCCAGATGTGTAGAGATATCTGGATATGTCACTGAAATTTTCAGATTTCATCCAGATGTTTGGTGTTATGGTTTTGTTTCTACAAAAGTCATACATTTATGCTACAATATAAATATGGATTATGACATTATATAGATTCAGCTTCCCATTAACCTAATTCACTGTGGCCACCTTAGGAAATTATGAGACACTATAGATTCATATATAATTTGTTTTCTTCTCTAATGTAAAGCCTAGGAGACCAGATATTATACACATTAAATGCAAATGTGCAAAGTGCCTGGATTCCAATAACACCTCCACTTCCTATACAACTTCCTGCTAATGCTCACCCTGGGAGGCATCAGTTGATGGCTGAATTACTTGGGTCCCTACCACCCAGGTGGGAGACCCAGGTGGAGTTCTTGGCTCTTGACTATGGTATGGCCCACTCCTGGCTCCTGTGGTTATGGGGAGTGAACCAAGAGATGGAAGATAATCTCTTTCACTCTCACTGTCTCATTCTGCCTTTCAAATGAATAAAAACAAATAATTTTTAAAAATTAAATGGTAAAATGTCATATGATGAGAAAGAAAATGAACGGACATACTTTCTTTTAAATACAAAGTCGTATTCCTAAAATCCGTACCTTCTTAGAATTTTCTCACGTGAAATTGCACATGACAGATGGATGCTGGTATTACAGAATTACTGTACCTCCTCTCCTAGAGAAGAACATCAGCATGGATTTCAATAACTCTATTCCTCCCATTTTTTGTTTCCTGTCAAGATTATTTTGCATGAACATTTCAGTCTTGGTGACAGTGATTATGATGATGACTTACATGTTTTTTTTTTTTTTTTTTCCCCATCTGGAATGGTCAATGGAGAAACTATCCTATGGAGAATCTTGAAAGCCTCATTATTCCAATATCACAAATATGAAAATTGAGACAGAGAAAAGTGTGGTTTTCCCAAATTCACACAAAAACTCAGAAGTGAAGCCAAGAGTAGTACCCAGCTCATGTGCAACAGATCTAATGCAACCTGCACTGTCAAGCTCACATGGTGATTAGGTTGAGTAGTGTAATTACCTAAAGTACAGGGCAGGAAAATAGCGCCCCATTTACCAACCCATTCACAGCAAGTGGAGGAATTACGTGAATGAGAGTCACCATATGGATGGTGCTCATGCATTTCACAATCCTGTACTTTACCTTCTTATCCTGAATGCTCTAAAAACAGGAGTTTGAGATAGAATTCAAATAAAAAAACCAAACCCCAATTCTGGAGCCAGATAAAGACATAGGTGTTTAAATCCTGGTGTTAGATTAAATCCTGGGGTTAGAGTTTCCATCTGTGTCATGTTCATGTAAACTTTACCTCAATTGTCTCATTCATAACATAGAAATAATGTTCACAACATGAGGGGAAAGTGTATTAGAAATAAAGCACATGTAGCACACATGCTGTAACATGATGCATGTAGTGATCCTTATGATTAGTAAGCAGAAATAATGTCAGTTCTCATCAAATATTTTTAATGATTTATTTTATATTTGAAAGGCAGAGGGTTACAGAGAGGCAGAGGCAGAGAGAGAAAGAGGGAGAGAGAAAGGGAGAGAGAGACAGAGAGAGAGAGAGAGAGAGGTCTTCCATCCGCTATTTCACTCCCCAAATGGCAGCAATGGCCAGATCTGAGCCAATCTGAAGCCAGGAGTCTGGATCTTCTTCTGGGTCTCCCACATGGGTGCAGGGCCCAACAACTTGGGCCATCTTCCACTGCTTTCTCAGGCCATAGCAGAGAGCTGAATTGTAAGTGGAGTGACCAGGACTTGAACTGGCACCCGTGTGGGATGTTGGCACTTCAGGTGGTGGCTTTACATGCTATGCCATAGTGCTGGCCCCTCACCACTGAACTTTAAATCAAATTTTTACTATATTGTATTATTTTTGTCAAATGGACTAGTGTATAGATAGGTAATAAATGAGACATGATGTTAATTGAGCCCAGCAGTGAAAGCAGTGACAATCCCTAGTTAAGAATCATCTCAATTTCAATATTTAATTGTGTAAATGTCTAAGGAATTTATACTGACTTTTATGAATCATGTGATTTGAAGGTTGCAGATATAAATATGTCTTTGGAAATTTGAGTTATTTCTCATCACATTACCATTGGCACTGTGTATTCACAGAAATTGAGATTATTTCAAATATAAAAATGCAGAGGCCAGCGCCGCAGCTCAGTAGGCTAATCCTCCACCTATCGGCGCTGGCACACCGGGTTCTAGTTCCGGTCGGGGTGCCGGATTCTGTCCTGGTTGCCCCTCTTCCAGGCCAGCTCTCTGCTGTGGCCCAGGAATGCAGTGGAGGATGGCCCAAGTCCTTGGGCCCTGCACCCCATGGGAGACCAGGAGAAGCACCTGGCTCCTGGCTTCGCATCAGTGCAGTGCACCGGCTGGCCATGGCAGCCATTGGAGGGTGAACCAACAGCAAATGAAGACCTTTCTCTCTGTCTCTCTCTCTCTGTCCACTCTGCCTGTCCAAAAAAAAAATAAAGAAAATGCAGAACATTCAAAATATATTTGGTGTAGGAGAATGAAATATATTTGGTGGTGAAGCAGACCTGTCCCTATCAGATACAAAGATCTGCTACAAAATTACAGCAAGAATGAAAATATGATGTTCTCACAGGTAAAAACTGACCCAGGGACAGAACAGAGTAGAGCAGAAAGCTGTGCATATGAGAGGCCTTCAAAAGCTCATGGATGGGGCCAGTGCTGTTGTGCAGGGCACTGAGCCTCTGTTTGTAACACCAGCATCCCATGTGGAGCACCAGCCTGAATTCTGGCTGCTCTGCTTCAGATTCAACTCCCTTCTAATGCACCTGGGAGAGCATCAGACAATGCCCTGAGTACTTACTCCCTGGCACCCACATGGGAGACCCAGACATGGTTGTGGGCTCATCTGACTGGGGGAGTGAACCAACAGATGGAAGATTTTTCTTTCTCTGTTTCTCTTTCTGTCTCCATTAGCATAACTTTCAAATAAATAAAATAAATCTTGAAAAAAAAAAACCCTCAGAAACCTCTTGGAACACAAGAAGTTATCATTTAATTCCATTTTCTGTGACCTTTTTGAAGCCACTTTCTACATGGAAGCTTTATTGATGATGGAATTGAAACAGTGATCACTGAGAAAATGGTGACTTTCGTAAAAAGCTACCTAGAACAACTTGTTCTTTTTAAATATTTATTTATTTATTTATTTATTTGAAAGTTACACAGAGAGAGGGGAGGCAGAGAGAGAGCGAAAGAGGTCTTCCATCCACTGGTTCACTTCCCAGTTGACTGCAATGGCTGGAGATGCATTGATTCGAAGCCAGGAGCCAGGAGCTTCTTCCCAATCTTCTCCATGGGTACAGGGGCCCAAGGACTTGGGCCATCTTCTGCTTTTGCAGGCCACAGAAGAGAGCTGGATCAAAAGTGGAGCAGCCAGGTCTCGAACTGGCACCATATGGGATGCTGGTGCTTAAGGCCAGGGTGTTAACCTGCTGCACCACAGCACCGGGCCCAAGAACAACTTGTTATTCACACAGAATAAATGGAAGCATTTGCTTTCCTCTGTATACTAAAATCAATACTTCCTGGTTTGACAGGTTCAATTTGAAATGCAAACCTTAAACTCTTGGAAGATGTAGAATACATTTGTGGCCTCAGCAGAGAGTATGCTTCAATAGCTCTAACCGTTAAAGAAACAGTGTGTAAATATAAATACATTAAGAGCTTCTGATCATCAACAAATACTCCAAGAAAAGGGGAGGGCACAAACAAAGAAGATAGTAGCTTCCATACAACTGAAGGTATTAAATTAGGACTCAGACATTTTAAAGTCCATAAAGAGTAAGATTAATTTTAAAAAGAATTCATACCAGATACAGGGAGGTATTTCATAGAAGCACTACAGTGGGCCATTATTTTTTTTAAAAAACAAAGTTAATTTATCTATGAGAAATGAGAGAGAGAGGCCTTCCATACACTGGCTCACTCCCCAAATGGCAGCACTTCCCAGGTGTAGCAGCAGGGAGTGAATTGGACACAGAGCAGCCAGGACTCCTGGTGCTCCAACATGGGACATGGACACCAACTCTGGATCCTAAACTCTTCAAAGATACTTGACTCCATTAGAAAACAGGAAAGGCAAAATAAAAGCACAGTAAGACAACATTTATTGTCATTGTGTTGTAAAAAAAAAAAAAGTTGAACCTGGTAAATCCAAATGCCGGCAAAGATTTGGGTGAACTTGAACTTTTATGCCCTGGAATGAACAAGAAAACTAAACTGATACAACCTTGGAAAACAGTTTTTTTTTTTTTTCACATTAGTGTGTTAAGATGAACATTCACATAACATTCAACCTATTGATGCAGCTCCTGACTACGTATCCACATAGGTCCCATCACAGGTTTATCATGCAAGAGCAGAACCAAATACCTTGGAGACATCTTGAATGATAAGCCCTTTCTTGTCTACTTCTCTTTATTATTGTGATTTTTAATTTTTAAATCCATAAAGCAAAAACTGTGAGGTAATACTACAATGAATTCCCTTTGTTGTTAAATATGAAAGGTAATCATTTGTGTGCATCTTGTGAATGTTTATAAATTATTATCACAAACATGCAACCTGATTAAACTCAGGGTGGGATTATTTTTATATTTACCCTCTTCCATGGTGTCTTCATGTAAACCTTTGAGAATCTGGTTCTCCTAGGCAGACCAAAAGGAGAAAGCACTTGAATTTAATGTTCTGTTTTGCTTCGTGTGTTTCCTTTCTTTGTCCAAGGTGAAAGTGTGGTTCCAGAACAGGAGGATGAAGTGGAAGAGGGTAAAATTGGGCCAGCCGGGCACTGCTGCCTGAGAAAAGGAACTGGTGAACGTGAAGAAAGGAACCCTGCTCCCTTCAGAGCTGTCAGGGATCGGTGCAGCCATGCTCCAGCAAACAGGGGACTCTCTGGACAATGAAGACAGCCACAACAGCGACCACAGCTCAGAGCATGCACACTTATGATCCACACAGACAGGACCAGCTTCATTCTCAGGAAAGAAGCACCATGATGGCAAGCCTTACCCAACAGAGTTTACACAGAGAGATGGCCATGGCCATGATTTTTAATATTATTAAATTCAGGCATCATGGGTCTGTTTTGCATGATTTATAGAGGAAGGAAGTGCCACTTATCAAAGATGCTTCCATGATGAAAATCAGAAGGTGAATTTTCTTTGAATAGTCCAGAGATGTTTGGTTGTGTGTATGACAGTGAGCAGGTATGTTTGCCTTTGCTTGCACTGAAAAATTAAATGGGTACCAAGAACAAATTATGACACATGTCTACATGAGATGCCTCCAGAGTGAAAACATTGAAGATGAACTTGCTTTAAACTCTCAGCTGATGAAAATAGGCACTGATAATGCCAGCCAGGCCAGCTTCCTGCCTTTTTATGCATGTGTCATTCTGAGACAATCCGTATATGCTTACTTGTGTACAAGTAGAGAAAAATACAGTAGAGTCTGATATGACATATTCTTGTACCACAGACAAAACAAACATTATGTTGCATTTACTATCAACTGCTGCTACTAAGTTATTATACAACTTACCTAGCTCCTCCTTGATTCGTCCTATTTTGTAGCTTGAAAAAAAATAGGATCACAGGCAAGTCAGTTACTTTGTGGAGAGAGCTTTGTTGTGGCAGACACTGTCTGATTTTATTTCTATAAAATTAAAGCTGTTATGAATATGACTTAATTAACAAGAAAATGTTTCTTCCTTCTTAGAAATGGTGTCAGACAAGGAGCAAAGCCAAATGGGCTCCCCAAGGGGATAGACAAAACAATTCTGAACGTCTTCAAATTAAATTCAGTAAAAACACATTATTTTTTAATATGTGATGTATTCTTGCAGAACAACCATCTTTGTATTTTGTGAAAAATGTTTAATAAATGATCCTTTATAAATTATTTTGGTCTCCCCATTGTAATTTCTTTAATTTCTATAGATTTTAATATTCATATCTAAGAGTGCCCCAGACTCATCTGCTCTGTGCTAATTTAGATCAAGATCATTAATTAGTCACAGGTTTTCATTTGTAGATTTATTATGGCAAGAAAAAAATCAATCCTTGGGTGATCAAAGAGAATCTAAACATCATCATACAGTAAACCATTTTCTTAATTTGAAGAATATGGCAAATTAATGTTTTTGTGTGTTTTACAAAGCAAAGATAAAAGGGAACAGGTAACACTAACTGCCACAACTAATAAGTAAAGTAGTCATATATTTTAAAATTTATGTTTAACATATGTGAATCAATCCAATAGTTGTTTTAAAGTCACACCAACCAGAGTCCTTGATGTTACCATGAGCTAGCCAATCAGAATCTTCATTGGAATGGACACCACAGGTATCAGAAGTCAATGACTATAGGCTGGCGCTGTGGCTCAATAGGCTAATCCTCCACCTGCAGTGCCAGCACACCGGGTTCTAGTCCCAGTCAGGGTGCCAGTTCTGTCCTGGTTGCTCCTCTTCCTGTTCAGCTCTCTGCTATGGCCCAGGAAGGCAGTGGAGGATGGTCCAAGTGCTTGGGCCCTGCACCCGCCCAGGAGACCAGGAGAAGCACCTGGATCCCGGCTACTGTGGGGGTGAACCAACGGAAAAAGAAAGACCTTTCTCTCTGTCTCTCTCTCTCACTGTCCACTCTGCCTGTTAAAAAAAAGAGTCAAGGATTGTATTAACTTAATACATTTCATGTCATGCATGGTTGCACATGCATTTTTTGCCTAAGACCTACTTACAACTATATCATGTTATTTTTTAACTGTTCCACATTTAACCAGAAGAATTTGGAAACATTACCATCATTCCTCCTTCCCCCATAGAAATAAACAGAAAAATAATTCATAAACATTTCCAAATTACTCATTATTTGATTTTGTTTCAGAATGATTAGATTGACAAAATATATTGATTCTATTCTTAGTCTAGCAAGACATATATGAGTATTCAAGAAATAAAGTAAATTATATTTTTGTATCGTATTTTCTCTTTGTGAAATACATTTTATCACACTGGTAAACAATATATCTAATTTAATTTTGGGGAGATCCTGTTCAAATTGAAGGTACAAAACATACTTCTCTATCACTTGAAGGAATAAAAATTATGCTTGTATTGAAGATATCTATTTCTTTTTGTAGAATAACTCTGACTTTCAAAGAAAATAAATCTTAAAAAACAATTCTATAAAACAATTCAGTTAACATTTGAGGTAAGTGATACTTAGGTGAAATATGATGTTTGCAATATAATACAAACAATTGGCATAGTTATTATTTGAACCATCTGGGGAACAGTGTATTTTGCTGTCAGTTCCTACTGCTGCATTCTGTTTGTAAAAAGCAATTCAGAAATAGAAAGAAAGCCACTGAGAATTTAGCATGAGAGCGGTAGTCTAAACATTCCAAACCTGAAAATGTTTGAAGTCTGCAGAACTGATCTGCAAATGCTCTTGAGAAAGTGGTGGTTGTTGTGGTGGTTGTGGTTGTTTCCTGATTTCTTACCTAAAACTGGCCAGGAAAATTGAGTAATAATTCTCTCACGTGTACCTCAACGGTCAACTTTTGCCAAATAATGCTAACAGGCCTGGACAAAGGAACAAAAGTGGTCCCAGAAAAAATAGATTGCTACATCAAGTTTTGAGAGCCTATAAAAAATTCAATAAGAATTTTTGAAATAAATCTAATAATTCTCTATTACCATGTGTTTTCTCAATAATCTCATTTTGACATTTGATATGCTTAAAGATATAGTTACATTTAAAAATTAAAAATAGTTTTTCTTGTATGCCTTATTTCCCACCTTTAGTAACTTTTTAAATTAAATCTGGTTTCAAACTGTGATCAAGAATTCCAGAAAATATTTTATTATATCATGGTTAGTAATTCCCCATTAAAATATTGTTTACTTTTTAAAAAATATAGTTTTCAGAAACAGTTCTTAAAACAAAACAAATTTTCAAAGATAATTATTGTCATATCCAGTTCCTGTTAGGGGCTTTATTTTGTATTTCTGCCCTTTTGGAAGTGGTTCATTGAGATAAACATTCATTTCCTTTATTTAAAGACTAATCACATGATTTTGGAACACATTTTTGTAGAACTATTCAAGCATCCACTGCTTTTGCAAATGTGTAATATTGATGGTTGAAAATATTTGTACATCTTTTTTATGTTCAGTGTATATTGCTATTGAAAATCCATCACTTATCTAACCTGATGAAACATGAAACTCAAAGTATTATTTTATTCAAGCTAATACTTCTAATTAAATAATTTACTTGGCTTTCATTTTCTTTGCGAGAGCTCCATTTTCATTGGCTTTGCCAACATTGGAATTGGTAATTTTTGTGATCCTGGGCCTATGTAATGTAAGAGAGTGGTGTTTAAAAAGTAGTAATCAGGAGCTAGCATTTGGCCAAGTGGTTAAGAATCCCCTTGAGACAACCTTGCTACAATGGAATGAGGGTGTCTGAGTGTTGTTTCCATTTCTGTCTTCAACTTCCTGCTAATGCAGACGCTGGGAGGCAGCACAGGAGGGCTCAAGGAATTGGGTTCCTGCCACACACACACAGTAGAATTACTCTCTGCCTTTCAAATGGATACATGAAAACTAAAATATAGAAATATAAAACGTGGAGAAAGTTATGTCTAAAATGATCAGGCTTTAAAAACACACACCCTGTATATTCATTAGACAATTGGCTCCTAACACTGCTACACCTGCAGGTCCAATTGGGACTGTCAGATGGACCAACATCAGCGTGACCAGTGCCAGTCCTGCCGGCTCAAGAAGTGCTTCCAGGGGGGTTGTGCAGAAGGAGGGTGAGTGGCCCCAAGCCCCGCTGCAGCCTGGTGGGGGCGTGCGGTAGGTGGGTGAATGGCACCCCAGCCCCGCTGCCTGCGGAAGGAGGGTGAGCGGCCCCCATCCTCCCTGCAGTCGGCCGGTGGGGCCTGGAGTTGGCACTTGCTAACCACAAGACCAGGGCCATTGCACCCTGTACTGGCTCAGGAATCCAATTACAGCTGTGGCCAGGGCCCGGTCCCCCTGCCCATGCCTGGCCACTGCATCCTGAAGAAATACACAGACACACACACATACATGCACACACACGCACAAACACACATTTATTTGGTTTCCGTTGCTCCCACCCCTGCCTCTGTTTGCTTAAGGCAGGAGCTGGGCAGCCTGAGCCCATGGGGACCCCACTCTTGTTCTCTCCCCTGGAGCCCCGGCCTGGCCCAGGGCAGACACAGTCCAAGCAGCGCGGCCCTAAACTCCAATGCCCTGCAGTTTCTCCAGGCTCCACACGGGGAGGGGGGGCGGTGGTCTCGGGGTAGGGGTAGAGGGGGTTCCAGCCTCAGGATAAATGCGCACCCCATACCTGCTTTCTGTCTGCCGGTTCCTCCCAGGGTCTGACCCCAGTCTCTCATGCTTTCGAAGTCCTCCCCCCTCACTGCGTCTGTGAGGGAAGCTGATAAAGTCGGCTCAGAGCCCCTTGGAAAAGCTACTCCCTTCAGCTTGGGGGGGTTCACCTGTGCCCCTCTTCTCACGTGGCTTATCTGAAATCCCGCTGGCCGGGCCCTCAGGTGGGCGCACCTACAGCCACGTGCTGCACCCCCCACCCCATGCACGGCTTCCCACCATCACAGC